GCAGCAGCAGCGGCAGCCGCAGCAGTAGCAGGGGTAGTAGTAGTAGTCGTCATCGTACTCGTCGTCGTCGTCGTCGGTCGTCGGCTTCGTGGTGGTCCTGGTCCTGGTCCCCGCCCTTGTGCTTGCGCTTGCTCTTGTTAATGTTCTTGTTTGTCTTCTTGTTGCTGCTGATTTTGCAATCCGTGCTTGTCACTGCGGCACAGCGTGTGCAGAGCCCTGCACTCCCAAAGGCCAAAAGGGGCTTTGTAGGCTCCTGGAGCCCCTCGCCTCAGAGGGGCTGGTTCGCCGGCGCCGTGCGGCGCGAGCAAGGGCTCGGGATTCTGCAAGGACGAGGGTGGCGAGACCTGAGCTGGGCGCAGCATGCGGCCACACCAGGCCGAAAGAGCCACAGCTCCTCCCTACCTGCTCCGACTCCCTACAAGCCTAAAAGTGCCCTACGAAAATTCGAACCGGGATGCTAGAGTAATAGCTTCCTGCACAGGTGAAGCGAGATGGCAATGGCTCGCAGCCAGGATCGGCGCTGGGATCGTCCAAGCGATGTAGCACACCTTATAGTCCGGTGCGAAAAGATTTCAAGCGCTTTGCTAAAACGGCCAGTCGAGCCTGTGCTTGAGGCTGAAACGTACGATTCGACCGCATGTCGAAGAAACATCGTCACTTGCGAAGCCACCACCGTGACTCCAAAGCTATTCGCTAGGGGGGCACCTTCCTGGCAAACTCTCCTATCAGAAATGAACTGCTGACACCTGCTTTCAGGGATCATCTGGATACTGTTGCAACTTGTAAGGAACGTTAGTGCAGCTACGCACTCCAAAAGAAATTCCCAATCCTACCCATCTTGCACCGTGGTCGCATGCCCAGAAGGACAGCGCGGCTTCCCTGGCTGGCGGAACCCTCTTCCGCTTTTTTGCCATTCGAGAAGCCACATGGAACTGCTGTGGGGGCCTTCACAAGCTGTTAGATGTTAGTCCCCTCGCGCTTTGGTCTTGGTCTAGCCATGTCTAGCCTCTGCTCGTCAACTCTACTGGGGCAATGCCGGCTGCAGCTTCGAACTTCGAAGGAAAATGGCGATGTCACTTCTTCAACTAATTCGGTTGGACCGGGCTCCAGTCTTATCACCGTGGGTGTCCAAGTCGCCGTCTTGAAACGTTGGACCAACATGGACAAACGGTCGTCTAACGTCTATGTGACCATGGTGCGACATCTCTTGGACTTGGACCCCTCGGTCATGCTGGGCACAACTCGGGCCAAGGACGCTGCGGCACAGAGCGCTTCACCAGCGAGCAAGTGGAGAATTCCACCCGGTGGCAGATCCGAAAGCCCATCACCAGGAGTGCATGTGTCGAACGTCGTCTCCCTACCTTGCTCCGGAAGCCCTGAGTCAGCGCTTTACTGAACCCGGTGGTCCAGGTGGCTCTCAGGCTCTGAGTACGTGCTTATCAGAGGCCTTCCATTCGGTCGCCGGCTTCTTGTAGCAGCTCTTGCCCCAACGACGCCACGTGGCAGGAATGCCCACACCACAACGTTGACAAGTCGCGATAGGAATGGAAGTGGAAGGAGTAAGTAGCATGCGGCGTAAGGCTGACATGAGAGATGAAGTGCGTGACAGCAAGCGAATAGGCCTGGATGCCCATGTTCTGCAAAGCACTGCGGAACCACGCCTGATAATCTCAAGACATGCTCGAGCGCATTACGCTGTCATCACGACATGGTGCTGATGAACGACAGCCTTTTGGGGTGGCATCACATTGCAAGCCCGCCTGGTCATCGCCGGCAATGTCAACCTACGGCACAGAATCAAAAAAGAAACGTCCTCGGGCTTCCATGGCATTGCTCCTACCCTCGCGTTAACCCTCGCGCCTCTGCCAGCAAGGCTTCACAAAGCGGTCTCAGGGACTGCAGTCGACGCTCCTGCATCTCCCCAAACGCGCAGACAGAAGCAGCGCTCGTCGCTGTCGGAGGACATCCAAGTCTTTGTCATGAGAAGCTGTGTGCGCCAGACAAGCAGCCCGCTCTCGCTGAGGCTGCTGCCGACTCGAGGTCCACGTTGAGACAGAACTTCTGCGGCCTAAGGCTTAAGGTTTTTGAGTTTTAAGTGACCGGCCCGCTTCGGGCCAATGCCGCTGCCGACAAGGAGCCCTTCTTTCAAGCTGCTCTCGGCTTTCCTGCGACTTGGGATGCAGAGGGGAGACTTGCTGGCATCTCGCGAAACATGGATGAGCCATGATGAGCCCAGTGGTTCAGATTGCAGATCGCAAACAACACGCAGCAAGAATGTCTGACTGGTGGATGTGACAATGCATGTGCAAGTATGATCAAGCAAGTCTTCACCAAGCCGCACAGAAACCAAGTAGCTTCACCTCACCTAAATTGACACAATTCATTGGGCTTGGCCTAACGTAGTTTACCTTAACCCTAGCCTAGCCTACTCTAGCCCAAGCAAGCCCTTACCTTGCCCGGCTTCGCGAAACGCCCAGCTACTCGAGTGGCAGTCAGCACCAGCGGCAACTGACGGCACGCGCACACACACACACACGCGCGCGCAGATACACACTGCTTGCAGGGCTCAGGCCAACAAGTCATGACTTTCTGGCCACGTGCTTATCAATGGCTTTGTGCCCAGCACCAGAGCTGTGCTCGGTAAATGCCCGTACATGTGGGTGTTGAGTATGCAGGTTTCGCGGTGGCCTGCAGACTGCCGGATCTTGAGACTTGTGTCACAGTTTGAGATGAGGATACTCGCAATATTGGGAGCAACACCATGCATCGAACATGATAATTTGACAGGCTTGGCTGCTGAATCACACCTTCCAACGGAATCAATAGGTCGCATTCCATCTATACTGATCGGTGCCGTTGTCTCAAAGGGATGCGTCAGCTGCAACAAGACATGAGAACGACTGAAAGCAATCCGGCCATAGATGGATGGTTCGGAGAGAAGAACAGCTGGTTCAAGCGGGCAGAGGGACAGCACCCACGGTGTCCGTCACAGCGGCTACACGAACGGTGCAATCAGGCAAGCTTTACACACGCGTATTGAGCCGAGGTTAAGGGTGGCATTGGACAATGTGGCCACACAGCAGCAACGTTGAGCGATCCGCTTTTCATGTCGGCTCCGTTCTGTTTTGCACGGTTTGTCACTGGCTCAAGTATACGACAAGCTAAGCCAAGGTGGAAGTAAAGCTGTGAGAGCTTAGAACATTCGGCATCACACATTGCCTGCAGTCCTTGCACACCTAGCGCCACTTCATCCCACTTCGGTCATGAGGCCACTGCAACATATTGCGACGACAGCCGATTTTACAGATGCTCTGGGAGGCCTTGTTATGATCGGGAGGCCATCTGGGCGAAATTTGTTTTCCGTATGAAGGCTTTGCCAGGGGCAAAGGCAATATCTAACAAGAGTCGAAAGGCTCGGCAAGAGAACTGAGCCGCATCGCATCTCGCAGCTGATCGCTACGGCAGCTATGTGCAGACAACTCAAGCGTCAGAAAAGGAGAAACCGAGGTTCAGCAACAACAAACAAATACAGTAGAGTCAGGAGAGTGGCGGACAGGCGGGCAACGTTCGAGATCGAGCGCTCACAAGATTCACCTCTTTGGCAAGCCCCCTCGTGTTTAAACAATGCCGGCACTGCCCATCTTAGGCTTGCCGGTACAGCCTCCCAACACTTCTGGATTTTGCAGGCTGTAGATATCTGCAGGCCCTTGTGCAGAGGACACGACTTTGCGCGTCCGAGAGACACGGGCCACTACTCTGCTCGTTCTATCCGTCTATCGATCCATCTGTCCATCAATCAGTCTATCCATCTGAATCTAACTAACTAACTAACCAACCTACCAACTTACCAACTGACCAACTGACCAATTGACTAACCAACAAACTAACCAACTAACTAAATATCCATCTATCCATCTATCCATCTAACTGAAGTCAAATTTTTACATGTATATATACATAGGTATACACGCACATGTCTACAGATTTAGATGCCGTTTCGATGAGATGGTAGATCCAGACAACGCTCATCTGTGGCATCAGGTCCAGGCAGCAGTGTCACCTTGGCTTCCACAGGTGGAATGAAGGTCGGACCCGCTCCAGCGGGATCACTGTGGGGACGCTCCATGCAGGGCTGGGCCAGCCACCCTTTGCCAGGCAAAATGTCGGTGGCATCTTCCTCCAAGGACTAGTGCTGAAGGCTTCGTGGTGACTCAGCTATCTCTGACAACCGGACGAGGCCTGTCGGGGAGCTTTTTTGAAGCGCTGGTCCAGCTGCTGGCGCAGCTGGATCTGCCAAGAATCGCTTCACACAAAAACCCAAAGAAAACAGTTCATGCAGAACAAACCTTTCATGGCAAAGCGTGCCACATGCAAGGGCCAAAACTCCAAACCGGAGGTTGAGTGGCTCGTGGAACGAGTCCACTATGGCTATGGCAAGCTCAGCAGAAAGAACGCAGCGGCAGCGCATGTTCGCAAAACAAGTAGAGCATGCAGGGTATCAGCGTCTCTTTAGCGTTCCGCTCCAGCATAGGGTCGAGTAGACTCCAGGAAGCACGAAAGGAACCCGACAGGGGAGGAGGAGCGTGACAGCACGAACTTCTCGTCCGAACGTCGAGCAAATGCTTGTCTCAAAGCACGCACCAAGGCTTGCGGTGCAGTGGAGAGCCATCGATACCTCTCAGTGTTGGGTCACTGCCAGCCTCAGACGCCCGACGAAGCTGATTGCCGAGGTCCGGCAGGCACTGCCTCTGCATGGAAGAGTCGAAGGCTCCTCGGCTGCGGATAGGGCCACGACCACAGCGGCTGCGCCCCACGCGCGTCAGAAGGTGGCCCCACCGCCTCGGCCAAAACGGCAAGGGCAGAGCAACGCAGCAGCTGAGCTCGTCGTTCGGATCTCTGTCTCAGAAGCTTCGGCCAGCGCCGAACCAAAGACCCAAGCCGAAGGAAGCCTTCTTGCATCCAGGCACATCCGTTTCGAGGCCCCAGACGAGCCCCTCCGGACCTTCGGGCGAAGGACTGAAGCACAGATGTTTCCGGAGAACAGTGCCGAGAGCCATGGATGGGCACGTCAAGCTCAACACGTGTAGAACAAGGCCACGGAAACACCAGCAAAAACTGCAGTCTTCCGTCTTCTGTGACGCAGTCACGCAGCTTTTTTTCAAGTGCTTCGCTATTTGCTCAAAATTGCACCTGAGCTCGAGGCCGAGTGTCTGGGCCTCGGCGAGCTTCAAAACCTCCCCTGGGCCGTCTGTGCAGAATAAAAAGGATTCGTTGATGTCGTCGGCTCAGATTCCAATGATTTGAGACCAACGCTAACCAGTTCACGATGCAGGGAGGCGGAACGGCGGATTGTCAATTCGATTTCTGGAGCCGGGACAAGGGCGTGCAGAAAGTGGCCCCATCCACGAAGCATCCGGTCCTGAAGAACCGCTGGGCTCCACCTCATGGAGGACGCAGTTGCTTGACACATACAGTTACACCATGAAGCAGCAAACAAACCGTGCCAATACATGTTGGTCTTTCGGCCTGCAGCGGTGATGCACTGTCTAATTGCTTTCATGCTTGTGGGGTGAAGGGCTCGGCCTGCGCAGCATTGCGCAGCGCTGGAATTGAATGAAAAATAATGAAAAGCAGGTGGAATCAGGAAGATACTGAAGTTCATGGAGGAGATCCCACCGCAGCAGCACGTAGAAACTCTCGTGCATTGCATGGCAAGACCACAAACAACCTTGGGCACCCTACCCAAAAACTTTTGTGGCCCTGCTCCGCAGCTGCCTGGCAAAGCAGAAGCTACCAAGTTCCTGCGGTGCCCGTGGCCACGACGTAATTCTGCGCCGTCACATTAGGACCCGTTCAGTGTCAAGTTCGTGGCCGCATGCGCTTAACGCAGTCTGCACAACAACTTCCAGTGTGGCCTAGATCGGCATATTGATATATTCTAAGTTCTAAGTGAAACATAACCATATAGAGCCCACCCGCCGTCAGCGCATTGCATTATCTGCCGCGTTGCTTCACAATTGAGATCATGCAACGTACTGAAAGCTCTTTGAAAAGCCGAATCTTTTCTCTCTGGCCTCGGAGCCGCTTTGTCCATGGCCCGCTTCCTCAACCACGGCCTGAGCTTCACAGGGAGAGGGTCCGCACTTTCGGACCGAGCGCAGCCTTCCAACAGAGAGCGCGGGCATCGACCAAGAAGGAAGAAAGCGAGAAGTAGTTGGAGAAGGCGGAAAGGCAGGCAAGAAGAGGCCAAGTGAAAACACCGTAAAACATTGAAAGGCTCGAGCCCACTTCAACAGGCTGCTACTGGGCCGGGCATATTGGTACTAGCAAATCTGTGGGGTGAAATGTCCCTCGCACACGCAAATCTGAAATCTGCAGCTTCCAGGAAACATTGAACTTAAATGAAACTAATGTATGCCGATATAAAACGATGCTGCCTTGGCTTCTTCGGTCGCTTTCACCATGCCCTTCTCGGCAGCCTGCCCAGAATCAAAGCGGCACTCTTCGCGATTCGTACCCGGAGCTTAATCTGCACCTGGCACATTTCTCGGAACTGATGGTGCCCCGGTATGTCTTAAAAACCAGAAGCCAACTGTTTGGGACTGACATGGCTCAAGCCGGAGTGTGAAAGATAGGATGACATCATGAGACGAATTGTGACATGCTATTGAAACTGCTATTTGTTGTAGAGCCTACTAATCTACTTGCGGGACTAGATACTGCACCAAATAGTTGAATAAACTCTTGAGAAGCTGGGTCCGTGCAGAATCCGCGTTCTACCAGTCGGCTAACTATTACAGCCTGGGCATGTAGGTAGTTGCAAGACTGCCAGTGCATAGCCAATAACATCCGATAAGCGACCGGACCACATTTGCAAGCCCTGCTCTTGCACGAAAAGTGCGAACTGACGCCGCCTTGGCTTCCGCTGGGTCCTTCAACATGCCCTTCGCGGCAGCCTGAGACAGGGGCAAGCAAAATTCCAGAGCTGAATTCCAGGCATTTCTCTCGCACAGCAGCTTCTTGTGCTGATGGCACGCCACACAGGGTGCCATCATGGTGCCCAAACAACTTCACAAGCCAACGTCTGCAATCCGGGCCCGTCATGGCTCCAGTCATAACGAGCACGGAAACTGGAGTCTCGGGATGTGGCTTGTCACAAGCTTTTCATTGCGGAGTCAAGTACTCAACCAACTAACACCAACTAACCTTGAGGTCCAGGTAACTCATCAAGAATCAGCGAGTAAGGCCGATCGGCTACTGCAGCCCTGGTATGCCGGTGGCAGGAAGACTGCCAGGTAGAATGAAAAGTCGGCGTGCACACGATCGTGCAGTCCTCCCTCTGATTCGACTTCTTATTGGGACAGCCTCCACAGAGGTGAAGACGTTAAGCCACAGTGGTGGCAAATGCTTCAAAGCACTGGAAACAGCTAACGTCAGCTGACACTCGGAATTGGGGTTCTTGAAGCGATCAACGACCGGGCGATCAAAAACATCTGCAAGCTTCACCTGTTCAATCGACAGCCAATGCAGCAAGAAACCGCTTCCGCCTTCGCCGCGCCCTTCTCGGCAGCCTTTTACAAGTGAATGCGAAACATGCGAAACGGCCCCTCCGAGGTTTGGACAAGGAACCCGTGATCAAATGTGCCTTGGCAGTGTATGCAACCGAAGCCGCACTCTTAACAGGTCAACATTCAACTGCCCTCCTCCGTGCACGAAACGGCCCTCACCTCTTCCCCTCGCCTGAATATGCCTGAAATGCAAACGGTGCAAGGCGCACCGGGCG